CCCCCTAAAACTATTGGATCTCCTGTCAGAATGTGATGTCATTGATGCTTTATCATTTTTCTCACTCGTCAAACTGTGCTTTTCTGCCATTCCTGAAAGTCTTCGAGGCAGTGAATCACACTCGAGATGACAAACCAGTAGATATTCCAACAGGCAGCTGTCCTCTCCTGCCATATGCGGATTTGAATGCGACTTCATTTGTCGTGAAGGGCCTAGCTGCATTAACAAAGCTATGTGGGGTAGAAAAACCTGGCTTATCAGTTTATTTATTTTCTTATCAATGCAGTTATCCTCGAGTCTCTCTTGCGGTTTTTAGTTAAAGCTGTGCAGATACGCATGAACGGGAGATCCTCCTGACAATAGAAAATACTGTATTATGTGCACACGGTTGCACCGCACATCTCATTTAGATTGAAACCAGTGGGGTCTGAATGATGGAAACGCATTTAACCACAGGGTGCTGCTGCTGCCACTCCCTGGATGCAAAATCTGATGGGTCTGTTTGTCTCTGTTCACAGTTAAAGATGAAGATCACAGACTTTGAGAACAGGAGGAGTTTTAAATCCATATGGCTCAACAGCCAGTTCAGAGAGGAGGTGAGAAACACACAATGTAACACTCCCACTCCCCTAGGGGAACTACACATTCATCAAATGCTTTGTGTGTTTCGAGCAAATGATTGAAACTGTGTGTGTTGCAGGAGATCACCCTCTACCCTGACAAGCACGGCTGTGTGCGGGACCTGTTGGAAGAATGTAAAAAGGCAGTGGAGCTCTCTGAAAAGGGCTCTGACAAGCTGAGGTATACACCCGGCTGGAGTGTGTGTGTGTGTGTGACATGTTTAAATGTGTTTTTAATGTATTGCTACAGTTTTCATGAATGCAGCCATAATACTTGAGGTCACTGCTTTCAATCCAATGATACTACTGACTGTATTGTAAAGCAGCATGCTGTAGCATAAACACACTGTTGGTTCACCTCCAGAGTCCAAACAAGGATCAGTTTCAGCAAAGACTCTACTGTGGTTTCCCAACAAAATGTAAAGTGTAGTGAGAAACAAGATATCAGCTGGTTTTCCTAACACCTCAAAACGACCCTTTACTATGTACCGTCACAGTTGAGTGATCACAAAAGAAAACCATTTGTATTTAAAGATGTAATGAATAGTTTTGAATTATGCCGTGGCAATACCAGTTGTACTCACTCGAAGCTTGGAGACTCATCATTGTTATAAAGTAGTCTTCAAACGCTCTAGGTTTTTTTGCAATCTGCTTCAAATGATTGTTTTTGCAGACCAGTGTTTCGGTTACCCCCTGATTCTATGCTCTGAGAAATGTGTTCTCCTTTCAGAAGCTGCAGTAGAGTATTAATCTTCCCCTCTTCCTCCCCCTGCAGGCTGTTAGAGATAGTAAGCTATAAAATCATCGGAGTTCACCAGGAGGACGAGCTGCTAGAATGTTTATCTCCGGCCGCCAGCCGCACCTTCAGAATAGAGGTATGTGTGTCTGTGAGGCGCCGCCCGCTTTTCAAATTAGGTTTATTTTTCATTTTCCTCCTTCAGTCACTTACCAGGATCTCACTGAAACTGTATGTCTTGATCCGGTTAGCTTGGTTTTACTTTTTCAAAACAATCTTTATATAAGTTACATTTTTGAACCAATCTGAAGTGCTGAACTCTTGTCGCGTAAAGTTTGATTCACTTGTGTTGATTTTTAAGGCCTTACTGTTTTTTTGAACACCCTTAAAAACCTAGTTTCACGTGGGCCCTTTTCTCATGCACCTGCAACTTGGCGCAAAATACTAAACATACTAAATGTTACTTCTCTTTTTTACTTTGGGCAATTTAAAATGTATATTTCATCCTTTTACACTTCTACTTATTCTGGTTTTAGTTGATTCATTTGCTTAAACATTTTAATTGCCACATTTACTCGTAAAGTTGAACAGTTAAAAGTCAAAATTACATTGACATTTCTTATTTGTTTTTCTTGGTCCAACATTATTATTATTATTATTTTTTATTTTTTTATATATAATTAAATCACAATAGTTGAAGTTAGAATAAAGGATTAATACATATCTGGTTTACCTACCATACCCTTAAAGCAATCAGTGCAGATTGGCAAAAACTTTAACCAGTTAAGCCCCATGTACCGGGGGCATGGTACGCAACATCTTGCAAGAAACAGTGTCTGAGGGCTCCTTAAGATTTAATAAACTATGAATGTGTCATACTCACTTAACGGGAAGAAACTCAGACAATATTAACAATTTCTAGCTAAACGAAACACAAGGGTAATAACAAAGGCTCTGAATTAGCCCCGAGCGAAAAAATGCTAACGCACTTGGCACAGAACTCACGGTAAAATACCCTTATTACTTATCGGGTCTGCACAAAGAAGTGAAGATATGGCCATTTGTTCTGGGAATGTCATTTTCGAGCCTGAGACCTGGAAAACAGGCTCGGGGCTGAAATGGTTAACCAGCCGAGGTCAACAAATAAAATATTTAGCCTGCACTACGTTGATTAAATCTTTTCTCTTTTACTAAATGTTTTCTCCTTTTGTGTTCCCTCTTTCAGGAGATTCCTTTGGACCAGGTGGAGTTGGACAAAGACAGCGAGATGCTCATCCCTGTCGCTCACTTCCACAAGGAGGTCTTCGGCACCTTCGGGATCCCGTTCTTGCTGAAGATCAGACAGGTGTGTTATTTATTTTTTTAACCTTTTTGAAAGACAGTTTCTGGTTTATTTATTTAAAACAACTTATTACTCAGTTACTAACTCTTTGCTCTTCTCCCTGCAGGGTGAGTCTTTCCGGGAGGTGATGAGGAGGATCCAGACCATGCTGGACCTTCAGGAGAAAGAATTTGAGAAGGTACGACTCCACGCTCCGTTAGCACAACCGGAGAAAAAAAATACAATTTTCTCTAGATTTTAAGTGTTTTTACCGTGAATACTTGTCACAAATGTCACTGTGCTGTCACTGTCACGGTTCTAGTACTATGAAAAGGACGTTTCCATATGTTACACAAAAATGTTCAACATGCAGTGTGGCAGAATGTACTCTTGTGTTTCCTGCAGGTAAAAGGTGTCGGGCTGTGAACTAACGTGCATTTCTGTGTTTTCTTTCTCAGTTCAAGTTTGCGATAGTGATGATGGGCCGGCATCAGTACATCACTGAAGACGAGTACGAGGTCAACCTGAAGGACTTTGAACAGCCAGGTATTTACTGCTTTTGATGTAAACACAACCATCGCTGCTGTGGTTACTTCACTCACAGCGTGTTTCCCAAACCAAAGACTCCTCCTGATCCCTGCAAAGAAAGAAGGAATACACATATTTACATCATTAACGTGAACTCGTTTCATTCCACCTCAGCGAAGGAGTCTTAACTGCGTTTTGCTCGTCATTCACTGCCACGCTTGTTTTTCAGTTTTCTCTCATGTCGTACGCTGTGAACACGTGCAGGGTTAATTTGGACATTTAAGCGTCTCAAATCTCACACTGCTGCCGTGCCTTCGCAGGAAGCAACGGTCTCTGCTGTTAGCTAGCTAGCAATGTCATCGTTCGCTCTGACGAAGCTTAGTTTTTACTGCAACCACACAGCGATTTAAGCTTTATTGGAACTAAGCTGTAAATGCTTAAAGGTCCAGCGGGTAGGATTTAGCTGAAAACTAGCCTGGCATTGACTCTGATGTGTTTGATTTGTCCATTTTGGGCTACTGAAGACTCATAAAAGCACAACACAGCATAGATTAAGGCCAATGTTAAGCTAACGAAAACACAGACAATGCTAACTAAGGTGAAAAACATGTTTGAATACCAGTTTTGCCAATAAACATTAAGGATGTTTGAAAACATTTCTCAGTTCCACAGCGATTACATCTTGAAATGGGAGACTCAACGTGCACTCACCTCTCTTCCAGGTAACATGTCTCACCCGCGTCCCTGGCTCGGGTTGGATCATTTCAACAAAGCTCCAAAGAGAGGTCGCTACACCTACCTGGAGAAAGCAATCAAGATCCACAACTAAAAAAAAAAAAGCAGCCCACCCTTCCTCTATGTCCTCCTCCTCCTCCTCCTCCTCCTCCTCCGCCTTCCTCCCTACCTACTTTAACACACCATAACCACAGACTGTAACCAACCGTGTTTGTTTGTGTGAGACTGTGTGCGTGCGTATGTGTGTGTTCATCACTTAACACCCTGCCTGGACACCTCTACAGCTCTACACCGGCACCATGTCTTCAGCGATTTCGGATCTTGCTGCAACTGACGGGTTATCCTTCAACCACAAAATAAACTGCACCAACCTCCTGACTGTTGATTTTGTTGTTTTTGTTTTTGTTTTTTTTAATCGTCTCCCTCCGTGTTCGAGGCTGCTCGATTGTTGTTGTTTTCCCCCTGGCTTTCTAAACCTGTGACTGCCGTTTGTTTGTCCTTTTGTTCCAGAAGTGGGAGAAATTAAATTTGATTTTAAATATAAAATAAGCAGAGAGGAAGTGGGACACGGTATAAAAAATATATATATATACACAAATATATATATATATGAACTTCTAGACTTAGTTTTTGTTCTCCCACCTCCCTCACCAGCTTCTTTTGTCCCTTCACATTATTTTGGGGGGTTGTTTTTAAATAAAGTTGTTTGAAGAGGAGGAGAGTTTGATGGAAGGATGTGGGCGGGGACTAACTGACAGAAAAGAGGGGGAAAGGGCATGATGGTCATTTATTTTCCGAGGGCGTCCATCCCGAGGCTAACTAGTTGCGCTGATGTGGTTCTTTATATTTTCTGCTCCCATCCCTTTTTAGTGCAACTAAGCAAGTATTTCCAAGTTTACACGCAAGTCTTTCTCACTTAGTTTTTGGTTGTTGGAGGAAGAATTATTTTTCTTTTGTCTCTTTCTTGCAGATCTTGTATAATAAAATTAAAATCCACAGCATCTGTTTAAAAATAAATGGGGTAAAAAATGAGGAGGAAATTTGTCTGTATTTCATCTTGCACGTTGGCACTTAATGTCAGAGGTTTCTCAGGACTGGCAAATGTGTATTTTGGTTTTTCCGTTGCAATGCTACTTTGAAAGGAACACACACATGCACGGACATTAACCCCCTTGACTTTCTCGTCCTTTTGTTTCTTCTGGGGGTTTTCTTGTCTTTCTCATTCATCCTCCTCTAAGCGCACACACACAAGCTTTGTCATCTTCTCTCGGTTGACTGTCGCCTCCAGGTGGTTGGTAGCAGTAACTGCGCTGTGCTTGCTAGGGAGCTGCAGACACAACAGGTTTGAGGACTGTAGAGACAAAACCAGCATTGTAAGAAAGAAAAAAAACACTTTAAGCCCTACGAATTAATTTCTCTTGTTTCTTTTAAAGCACAGATGGAATGCTCCCCTAATAGCGCATAGCTGGCTCTGTAAAGACAACATTTAAGAATTGTATATTTAAAAATATTAACGTGTAAAATTAAAGAGAAGCACGCGCCATTTTCTTGTTGGGTACAGAAGGAGCCAGGTGTTCATATTTCTTGTGTAGGGTTTTCTCTTTTTTTCTGCGTTCCTGATGTACCATTGACGATTTTCTTCTGTTACATTTGGATTTATTTTTTCTTTTCAAAACTAACTGCATTGGGTTTGTCTTGTTAAAAAGTGCAGTACAAAGATGACCTGCAGAATCATACCTTAATTTGGTCTTTTCCAGTTTAAAATCCTCAGTGTAGCAGCAGTGTACGACAACTATTCCTGTATATTGCCTTTTTGCTGGAAAATGTATGTTGAATAAAATTTTCTATAAAAAACAAAAAACACAACTCTGCTGCTTTTCCACACCAGTGTTTGACCTGAAACACTGTTAAAAGGATTCAACATTTTTGGGAAATGCACTAGTTTCTTTATTTTGGTGGAGTTGGGTGAGAAAATCGATACCACTCAATCTTCTCATCCAACTTGTGCCTAGAAAGCGAATAAGTGTATTGTTTCCAAAATGTCCAACTACAACTTCGATATTTTAAGTTGCCATAAAACATTTTTCCATTGAGCAATAACTAGCTGGACAGAGCTCGGCATGCTTCCCCAAATCCCAAGACAACATTATTCAATTTAAACGAGACTACAGTTCTGCACCTTGGCTTTGAGCTAGCTTAATGCTAAAAAGAAATAGCGCGCTAACAAGCTAATGTTTAGCAGTTATAATTGCTTTATAATGTGCTGTGTTAACACTAAGAATCCATATTAATGTCCCCCCTTAATGTGGTATTCATAATTTTTGGTACGTTTTCAAAAAGGGTTAACTTTCTTTCTTAATTTAAATAATGTGAAAGCTAGCCCGCTAAGAGTTCTGAGGTGTTGCCACAAATGGGGGGGACCAGGAAAGTACATTTTTTTGGGTCCATAATAAGTTGATATATTCCAATTTTGTCACTTAGAGTTTTTTAGAACTTTGTTATGTCTCAGCATTGTGGAAATTCCTAACAGCCTTATGTTTCTCCCATCTTTTCCCGTTTTAAGTTACTGCTAGCTAGCTTTATCATTAGCCTCGACAGCCTCAACAAGCCTATAGGGCAGGGGTGGGGAACCTTTTTCCTCTCAAGGGCCATTTCAATTTTTTAAACATCCTCCGAGGGCCGTACAAATTATTGACCTCTGCTTAAAAATACTAAAATCACAGCCCATTCATTTCGCCTTTCTTTCATGCCGTGCAAAGAAAAAGCAAACTCTTAATCCAGATATCTTGCCATGACTCGCGTACGCGTGCACGGTTGTGGCATGACCACCAAAACAGAAATATATGGACACGAGGTGTGCAATTTAGTTTCCTATCCATGTGAACATGATTTAAAGTGGGGGGGGGGAACCTAACCTCCTCTAGGGGGGTCCTCACCTCCCCGGGAAGATTTTTTTTTAAATGTTGAAGTTAAAAGCATCAATCTAGTGCACTTTGAGAGCAACATTAGGAGATCTATGGATACATCTCTCAACATCCATCTGAAACAGAACTGGAAGCAGATGTATTTTTCTTTATGGATATTTTACAAATCACTCCCCTTTCAAACTGTATTATTGTTTATTAATAACAACTTTTATTTACTGTCATATAGTATTTTATACCTGTTTACTTTATTCTCTTGTTTTTTAGAACTATAATGATCATATAAAGATGTGCCTTTACCTCACTGGTTGTAGAAAAAGCTTCTTATATTCGTTAGCATAGCTAGCTAACCAGATGCTAATAACAACAAAGTTATTGACTGTATGATCAGTATGACAGATGAACAGATCGCCACTGGGCTTACAACTAAAGACACAGCCACGCAGAAACTGGGGCATGTGTACGGCTCCTTATGGGTACTGCAATTTTTGGAAGCGACGTTCTGGTGCTCCCCTGCCATGCTCCCCTGTCAGACGAGACATATACCACGTGATGACACGTTAGGCTCGTGTTGTGTTCAAGGACCCTGACCTTGGCCAGGAAAAACAGGCACTCGCCTGTTTAATTTGCGGTCTAGATTACTTTAATTTTTTTCTTTTTTGCGTGTGTTTATAAATTACCTCGAGGGCCGTAGCAAATGGTCTCGCGGGCCGTATACGGCCCGGGGGCCGGAGGTTCCCCACCCCTGCTATAGGGTAACGTTAGGCCTACTTTTTGCCGATAAAATGGAAGAAGCCCTAATATCCAATAAAAAGAGGTCTATCCAGGATAGTAATACAAAATAATTTACAAAAAATATATACATTCTTGTAAAAGGTGGACTGAAAAAATAAAATCGAGACATCCTCACTGTCTAGTGTTTTAAAGGTCCCCTATCATGCTATTTTTAGGCAATAGCATAGGTCTCGGATATATAAAAATGTCTAAGAAGTGTTTTGCTCAAAATACCAAACGGATCACCCATTCTAGCCATGCCTCATGTCATATCCCTCCATTTCATTTCCTGTTTCAAAAGTGCTGATTTGGAGTAGCCCAGAGTCATAGAAAGATAAGAGAGATTTCTCTCTAGGGCAGCCTATAAAGCTTTAAAAAAAAAAAAAAAATGTATCACATAAAAAAGGAGTGGGCTGAGCTCATGCGGGACCCAGCAGCTACTGTCTAAACTAAATACTGCCGTGATGAAAAGCCATATGGATTATCAAGGATTATTTCTGAAAAAGTATGGAGCTTAAATGCTTTCTCTCCTGCCGGTTATACCCATTGACTGTATATATAAAGGTTATACCACAAGGTGAGTTCCTTTTTTATTTCCAGCTTCTTCACACACATGCTCTCCAGTAGGCCTACTGGTTAGCTCTGAGTGTTAGCGATGCTAATGTAAACACCGACCATATTACGTCCAAAACAGTCAGGCATTGTTTCTGATAGCATTTTGAATGATAGGTCCCCTTTAAAGTGAAATTATATTGAAGAAGAAAACGTTCCAATTTAAAAATGCTGAATTAGATTAAAATATTAATAATAATAATATAATATAAAAATATTCATAAAAAATAGAAGGCAGGCTATAATCAAATAAAAAGAGGTGTCGTACTTCTCCAATGTGTTAATACAATTTGCATTGATTTGGCGTCACTGTGTCACATGCAATTTTAAATAAACATTATTTGAAACATAAAGTATTTGATAGATAGATTTACTTTATTGTCCACATCTGTGGAAATGTGTCTATTGCTTCTCCCAAGTACAGAAAAGGTACATACAACAGTTTATTTACAAGCCCTTCATTTGAACAACACAACGTATGCAGATGTTTCTGAAAAGGATTATATATATATATATATTGTTTTTTTCTGCTGGAATGGGACACACATAAAACGGCTCCCAAAAAGTGCATGGGGTCTGCTTAACCCATTTGTGCCCAACCACGAATCTAAAGACATTTTTAAAATTGGTCAAACTGACTGGATAACATTTATTTAGTCATAGGAAACGGTAGTCCTATATTACCAATTTTAGAAAGAAAACTGCTGTTTGATGTGGCCAACAATTAAATATAGAATGAGATGAAAAATGTATGAACATATTCAAGTTCATTATAAAAGTAATGCAGAGATTTAAAGCGTTAAAAAAATCATAGGGAAGACATTCAATTAACACAATATAAGCATTTCTCTTAATTTTTCAAAAAATCCTGATATTGATTGCTATTGATAAAAGATTTATATTATTTGATCTACAAATGTACTTCAAGACTTTAAACTAAAAATTAAGCTAATGGACTTAAACAAGCCAGAGCTTTAAAAAGTGTGCACATCATATTTAATCTGACATCACATCGACTCCCAGTCCGTTTCATAATAATATGATTTTGGATTTAGCTTCAGCAAATGCAATGGCTCATCCATAGAAATAAAAACATTGTACTGCACCTTTGTCCATTTCGTAAAAATGGTGAAACTGATTAGCCAAAAAGGTAAAGGGATGTTATTTATTATTTCTACGGGTCTGTTTCTGCCATCAGGTTCATCATTATTTGCAGCACTTTTTCTTTTCAACGTGCAGCACTCTGTTGCAGCGAGGGCAGGTGTGGTACGCATCCTTGAAGTCCTTCAAGAAGAAGGGAATCAGGCAGCAGAGGCAGAACAACCTGCAACACACACACACATACATACATGGAGTTAGGGTCCTTTAACTGTATGGGAACATTTTTAACATACACTTTTTTTAGGGACTGCACAAACAAATGATTTGGTTTCTAATTTTATAAGAATTCAAAGACCCTTATGTAGTAGAGAGACTAAAGCCTTGGTGCAGATACAGGCTTGTTGTCTATTACAAAATAAAAACTGTTTTATACACTCACTGAGCATTTTAAACTTTTCTGAATGATATATTTTCGTATAATTCATTCGTAAACAGTTAAGTAGTTCCTGGTAAACTGCTGTAAAAATCTGTAAAATCTTTATCATAAGATATGTATGGTTTGACTTTTTAGAGAACAAGGATAATGCCGTCGAGCTCACTTTGAGAATTCTTGGTGAAGTGAGGGACACATTATCCCCACACTTAGCAACTTGAGTCGATTTTACAAACAAAAAAAGCAACTGCTCTGAGGCCTTGAATTGTATCTCAGCTCAGCTATATTTGGAAAATTGAAATTTTGAAAAGGCTGTTGCCTCACTAAAGTACAATATCACCTTCAGTAGATCTGCTATTATATTGTACTCTGTGGGTATGGAGGTCAAATTAAATACATGTTGTTTTAGTTTGTCTGCAGAAATCCACAAACCCTGAAGCTCAGACTCACCCGCAGCAGATGAAGAGTAAGCACATGAGCCAAGCGTACGTCCCTGCTTTGTAGGTGACGTTGGTCATGACCTGCTGCTGGCAGGAGGTGCAGGTCGTCATGCCGGGGTCATTACCCAGCCCCCCCTCGTAGCTCACATACCTCCTTTTGCCATCGTCAACCCCCGTTCCTCCTCCTCCACCGCTGTTCACTACAAGAGGGAAGAGAAGGTAGGTTGGATAAGGTTATGAATACGAGAGCAGGGGTCCAAACTACGGCCCGGGTGCCAAATGCGGCCCGCGAGCCATTTTGAAGCGGTGCTCAGCAAATTCAAAAAGTATAATGAAATATGGCACACAAATGAAACTTTTGCTTGTCTTGTACTTCTTAAATATAGATGAAAACACATTGTACACAGTAGTATTCATGTGTTACGAAGCCCACTTCAAATACATTCAGTCAGTTAAAGCTGAAAACAAATGTTAGTTGATAAAAATTATTTACACAACAAGCTTGAAATAAACTCTTCATATTATTTCCTCTTATTATACAGTAAGCAATCTGAGGCTTCTGTGAATGAGCTGCTAACACAATAAATGAAACCCTACGGAGAGCTGTGATGTATGGCTGTTTTAAAAAAAGAAGCATAATCAAGTATTAAGCATAATTTACCTACATTTGATTGATTTTGCTAACTTAACTTATAAGGCAATATACCTCGTCTCTTCGTATGTTTTTCTGTATGTGGCCCTCAGTGAAAAAAGTGTGGACACCCCTGTACTAGAGTGAGTTGTAGGTATGGTTTTTGATGTGCTTTACAAGGAAATCAGGTTTGAGTTTCTCTTGTCTTTATTGGCATTGCATTTGAATCTGGGGTAATCCAAAAATGTATTAGTAATTAGGTTACATGAATTACATGTGCATTTAAAAATTGATTTCTGTTGTTCCTGGCCTTCGGGACTTTCAGAGGATGCATAGAGTCATTTTAGATCATGCTTACCTGTTGGGACATAAGAGGCCTGCTGCTGTTCTTGTGTAGGAGGGGTGAACGGAGTATGAACATGGTAAACCGTCACATCATTCTTACCCTGCCCTTCAACTGGAAAAAAGCAAGAGAGGAGGACAGACAAAACAAAACAAGTTCATTAATAATTAATTAGCCGGGCTGGTTATGATGATGTGTGTGAGCGTGGTGCGTTCAGGTTTACCTGGTATGCCGTAGGGAGGAGGAGTCTTCCCATCTGTACTCATTGTGCTGAAAGAGGTAATAGAAAGATTGTTTAAAAAATGTGCTCTTCTGCATTTAAAAGTGACGACAAAATACACAGCAGTATGATCAGTGGTGGAAGAAGTACTTAGATACATACTGTACTTAAAACCAGTAAATTATAAAAATACTATGTTACAAGTAAAAGTCCTGCATTCAAAATCTTACTTAAGTATGAGCACAAAAGTATTGGCTTCAAAATGTACTTAAAAAGGGCATATTACACTCATTTTCAGGTTTGTATTTTGTGTCTCTACTGCAGTGGTTCTCAAACTTTATGAATATATGAACGTGAGCATTCCTTTAAAAAAAACAAAAAAAAAACACTGCTAGAACAGTGATAATAAAACAATGCTCCATAAGTCTGTGTGCTCAAAAAAACAAAACATAATACAATTGTGCAATCCCTTTCCTAGAACAATAAGTAACAATCATTTTTCAAATTATGATTTTCTTTTTTTAAACCATTTTTTCTCCTGGTCCTGGTTCCCCCTGTCATGCCTCTGCTCGCCCCACTTTGAGAAACACTGCTCTACTGTGACATGTCTCCATGCTTTAATGTTCAGAAAGGTCTTTATTTTTCTCATACTGCCTGTGCTGCAGCACCTATTTTCAGCCTCTGTCTGAAACCAGAGCCCAGTCTGCTCTGATTGGTTAGCTGGCCAGCTCTGTTGTGATTGGTCAACAGAAGATACATTCCAAAGATCTTTCTCAATGCTGTAACGCTACTTTCAAGAAAACTGTGTTTCTGCTGATTGCTGTAGCAGATAGAGCCGAAGCATGACTAAAATCCACTGTCATCTCTTACTGACACATGTTTATGTTAGCACCTGTTATACAGTATGTTCTGTATGTCAGTATTCCTGGAAGGAAATGCCTCGGGAGGGACTCTTTTGAGTAATTGCCGGCAGATTTCAGGTGTGGTCGCTCACCGACAGGCTTTTTAAAAAAAATGGTGTCGGTACGCATTAAAAATGCTTGGAAGGATGCAGGGAATTATTTGTTTTATTTTGGACTATTTAGATGATTTATCAGAAAAGTCATTTTACCACAACCTTTAAATTGCCTATGATTATGTCTCATTTGACTATTTTGCGCAAGCTTCATCATCGATAGAATCGTCATCTTATTTTGTTGTTAATATGAATAACCTGAACAGCTTTATTTTTTATTGTTGTCTGTATCAACATAACATTTGAGGGGATGCAGATTAGCATTTTTTTATGATTTTATATCCATGTTTATGTGCATGCATTTTTTCCTGCGTATAGTTGTATGTGCAAAATGGCAGACTCAGCCACTTCCATTCATTTGGCTTTTGCTTAAACCCTGCCAAATACAAATACTACCAGAAAATAGGGTTTGGTTTAATTACAATCTTCAGGATTACAACTTTAAGACTTAATTACTTGCAAAAGTACAGGTAATGTTTTGCATCCCCCTTTCTCCCCCTTCCCTGTCTAACTTTAGCATACTTCGAAGCCTTTTCTCTCAAAATGTCACAAAATTAAAATGATATGTAAAAATCGACAGAAGATCTTCAGTAATTACTGTAACTACTTTAGAGCCGAGGACTTAGAGGAGCAAAATCTTTCATTGTGCTACGGGACCTCTGCCACCTATATATATAGATAGCTATAATGCATTTCAAATACTAAAGGATAAATACATTGCTTTAAATGACAACACAGGCTGCAAGCACTTGTTTTTTAGGCCCATTGAAAAACAAAATCATGTGACATGTTAAATAAAATGATCGCATACAGGAAAAACCCGGCTAACAGAATCCCACGACTCCACCTCTGTCTCTTTTGTCGCCCTTTTCTTGTGTCTCTCTGGATAGCAACACATTATTATTAACACAATAACACAATCCAGCATGACTAAGCATCTACATTCCCGCACACAGAAAGCAGACCTGTTCTGTTATCATGTTACATCTTTTCTGTCATTGCATCCTGTTTTTTTTAAATGTTTCAACACTTTTACATAACCTTCCTTTTTCCCACCTTAAAACACACACATACTTGTGTCCCCCCCAATGAGGCCTACACCTATTTCACACAAATGCGGGGTCCACCCTTTCCTTTTGTTCTACATCTCAGTACAAAATCAGAAATACATTTAAAAAACTCACTTTAAAATAACACACACACACACACACACACACACACACACACACACACACACACACGCCAATACATGTATTTAGGTGTAGTTCATCACTCTCTCACACACAAATATATACATATACTTGTGTTCCCTCCTCATGAGGCCCACACTTTTCCTCTCAATTTTGGGGTCCAACCTTTTTTGTTTTTTGACACTAGTGTAAAATTAAGAAGAGATATCATTAAAAAAAACACTAAACTCAAACATTACTATAAATTAACACACACTGTCCTCACGCCATTACATGGATCGAGGTGTAGCCATAGTTCATCACCTGAGAAGATGAAAGACTGTTTTCTCCTACACACACACCCACACACCCTGTATACACCTATGTGTTGGTGCAGGAATGTGACCGAACTGCATGTTTTCCTGTGTGTCACAGAACGGGGAGTGTCACTGCTGCGTCGCACAACTCTATCTAAAAATCTGTCGAGTGAGCTCATCTCAAGGAAAAAATAGAAACTGCCTGGAATCATGTTGACAGTTTAGCTTTTTTAAAAGGCTGAATGAACTAACGTGACATTTCCAATTGGGGTTTCTTGTTCTTCCAAAGCTTTAACATTTTACAATGCCTTTCAGTCTGATTCTTGACAGCAACCGGTGTATCTGTTTTGATACAGTGCTACAGTAAAAACTGACGCGAAGGCACGGATAACTGGCTGAGTGGCTTTTTCTCTTGTTGGCGGCTTTCCATAAAGCAGCTGGTGCAACATTAATTGGAAAGTTAGGGTGTGTTGGGTTTAGGTTTACCAAGGAAATTTGTTACCCACAGCTTCAGAGTCCTTGTTTGAGTGTAGATAACAAATGATGCTTGGAGATGCACTTCAAAGGGGTTGCAAAAGTTAGATGCATTGAAGATCCTTAGGAAAAAGAGACCTTGTTTTGATTAAAAAAAAAAAAAATGTAAAACATGAAACAAATAGGTAGGCAAAAATCTGCTCAATTGAATAAGTAGGACACAGTTGATGGTGCTTCTGTCATCAAGACGTGACATGAAGCTGCTGATAGAGGTAGAGTCTGGGTGCGGTTTCGGAAGACATTCATCTGCCACATTGCGAAGATACTTTCAGACAACAGAGGGGGAAAGTTAGAGGCTGGTGATAAAACAATATCACCTCTGTGAGAGAAGAGAGCACACATGACCTCAGCTCAGACAGCAACAGCTTTCTCTGCAGATTCATCACTGAGGCAGGTGTGGGAGTGGATCAATGGGGGAGGAATTGGGTGCAACTGATGAGAAGCACTGGCCCGGTAGATAAGCTAATTATAAAAGTATAACTCCAATTCTTCTTATGCTAATGATAACTAAAGAAACAATTGTGGACACCAGATTTAAGGCTTTTAGCTGGTAGTCTCCCAGAGAAAACATCACAGAAGTTGGGTTTGGGGGATCTCTGTCTTTCTGATGTTACGCTGGATGATGTTTTACTGTCTGTAGACAAGTTAACACCCAGAGACGGAGTCTGATTTGTAGGTGTGGCCTCACTGTATATGGATCTGTGCTGGTCAAACCGGCCCCATCAGCTGCTAAGGAGGGGTTACTCAGAAATGGAAATTACCATGTCAATCACTCATCAGTTCAGAAAAAGAATAGAGTTAATTCAACTGTTGAGAATAAATGTAATGCATTCGAGCTCAACAGTTAAGCCACAATCTTTTTTCCTAAATTGAGTCTGAGATTGGAGATTTGAGATACTCAGTCTGACCGCAATTTAACCGTTATGTAATATATATCACTCCAAATCCTTTTACAAGTTTTAGCATATTTCATTGATCATTTTTGATATATGACTGTAGGACAAAGACAAATAAGGCAAATACCGAACTAAGACAACATTTTGCCATCTGCTAAAAAATTCACAGATACTTGGACTTGCAGGTGAAGTTATAGTTAAAACAAAAGCCTGTCAAGTTGTAGATACAGACAGATCTCAGTTTGTTTAAAGGAATTATTTGAATGATATGTCAGTTGTTTTAAGGAGTCTTTGTTTATTCTGTGTACCGCCTTGCTTTCAGGTTCAATTAGCGTTTCTGGACTGTCTCTTTTATTTTTCAGTAACTGTCAAAAATGTGCTTTCACTTCCTTTCAAAACCAGTCAGTGCCTTAAGAAACTACTGCTTTTAGAATGGTCCTTTTATGTGTTATTGGTTTGATGTATAGCATTACAACTTCAAAGCTCTAGTCCCTCTATCTGAAAGCATCAAACAAACCAAACAGTATGGAAAACATATTTGAACCTACTCCGTCTCATATGCATCAACATTGAAATGACTTCCTTTCTTAAAATGTGGTCCTGCGGGCTAAACCGGAGCTTATAAAACCAGTTGTTATTGAGATTTTTCTTCTTTTTTTTCAATCAAATACGCTTTTCCCTACATCCCATATGGATCTCTCGGTCTTACCTTGGCTGTGTGTTGCCGTCAATAGTAGAGATGTGTGTGAGCTGCTGCTGATGTAGAGTCCAGGCAGATTATAGCTGTGACATGCACCTGCCTCACCTGTACCTCTTCTTGACTTCTTTCTTCACACGCCCACAGCTCCGCCCTCACCGACAAAGACCGACTCGGCAACTTGAATGAGTCACTCAATGATTTAGGTGTGACTTTCAAAGGCTGTTCTGGTTGTCATTTTAACTTGTTCTTTGTGTCAGGGAGATTATTGAGGGAGTGTGTATGTGTGTGTCACTCTCTTAGGTTAGGATAACCAGTTTTCCTCATGCTGCTTCGTTTTCCTTCAGCAGCCTTTCTGACATGACAAAGACTTCAGGCAAAAAAAGTTTTTGTCCTAGAATATGACCGGAAGTGATAGGACAGCTTTTAGGAGAGATAGGTATGCATGTATCGGCATAAACTTACATTTTGACCACTTTCCTGAGAAAAAAATAAGCATTTTAGCACCCTAAGTAATCGGAACATGGCCACACACATATGTACGTAGCGAATAAAAAAGCAAGGCCTGAATGAAGTGAAATGGTTTTCTAATGGTAAAGGGCAGAGCATTCACACTCCTAATGTGTTAAATACGGAAGCTGGGTAAGTGGCTTTAAACACAAACGACGAAGCTTCACAAGAAGGTCTAGTGTCAGTTTTAAGACAGCTGTTTATCCTATGTCAATCAAAAAAGTCAGTGTCAGTTTAACATAACATCTATAGGTAATGCTTGAATTAGAGATGGGAATTATCGCACTTTGAAGGGAGCCGGATCTTTTGGCTCCGTTCCTTTCCGAGAGCTGTTCAAAAGAACCGTTTTTTTTGGGGGGCGGGGTTAATAGGTTTATCAGTGAAATAATCACCAGGATAATGATTGACTGTATTGCAACAAATCTACTTTTACTCACAGAAAA